CACCCAGTGTGGACCTAAACTGAGAGATCTCGGTTACAGAATGGTGCATGCATCATCTACAATCACGTTTTTGCTGTATCGTCGGAGGCGGAGCAGGAATGTCTTCGGAGATAAGTTTCTCGGTCAGTTAGAGGATAAGCTCCATAATTTCCTCACGAGCCGTAAGCACACTATCTTTCGACTTTTGCGAGGAATCAACGACGTTATTTTTCAGCCGAGAAAAAATTTCCCCTCCTGAATAAAATGAACTGGGCTCGCTGGGAGAACGCCTCGCTGTCGGTCGTGCTCGATGTCGATTACTCAGCCGACGCTGACGACGTTCTTGACCATGCGGAAGAGAAATTGCACAGCGCTATTTACAGAACTGTGCGTGGGCCATCTGGGCCCATGGCCGAGGCACTCAGTGCCTTGGGGGAGTCCATCGAGAGTTTAGACCAGCTCGTGAACTTCGTGGAAGGAGTCGTTGATGTGCGCTTCTCAATCTCTCCGGTTTGATTTGTACCTTACATATTGATAAGATCCACCCAATGTGCAAGGCGGCGTGGACGCTCTTGTCGTCCGTATACAAGGTTGGTTTCAAGCCCTGACGCGTCATCGATCGTCTTTGAGCCTAATACTTTCTCCACGCAGGGCTTCAGGTCGCAACGAGCACAGGATGCCTCCATTAGGGAACTCGCTGTCGAATTGAAAGAGACCCTCGTGCACGCTAGGCGGTGTAAAAACGTCCATACCGTCCCGGGCGCCACACATGTCATTCAAGACCTCGCTCGTCTGGTAGCAGAGTGCGCTTCCGTAATGGACGAAAGCATGAAGTATACCATGATCCGTCAGTTTTCCCGCAGTAACATGACGAATAAACACTAACGGGCTGCTTCCTCCGCAGTGCGTACTGCCAAATCTGTCGCATCGAAGACCCTGCACATTCGCACGAGTGACTGCTCACGCAACCTCAAGAAGCTTCGGAAGAAGCTCGAGATCGTGTTACTGACGGCAATACACAACGATGGTGCGTCGGAACAAATGCTCGCCTCGCGCTATGTATCCACTCACATGGCCACCATAGTCGCGGACATTAAGCAAGACATCAAAAACATGCGCGATGGGACTTCCATCACCGCCGCTCCGAGCGCACCGACGCCGCCCCCATCGGAGCCCTACTGCTCTATACACTGCTCCATACATGCTCTTTCCTCACCCCAGCCCAAGCCACTTGTACTCCCGTATGCACTGTCTGCCCTCCCCACCGCCCCGCCGACCCTCTCCACATCTCCTCCTCCGGCGCCTCACAAGAATGAAGACAGACAAGCGTCACCAAGCATGCCCTCACCGTCGTCCAGCCTCTCCTCCGCCGCGAGCTTCTCCTTCTCGTCGCATGAGGGACCTACGCCGGCGTCGTCGCAGTCGTCCCTCGGCGCCCTACCGGACGCGGACGAGCCTGCGAGCAAGCACGGCGGCGGCCGGGTGCTACCAGACGCACCCTTCGTCGCCGAGCCAGAGGGGATGTGTTGCGCGCATGGCCGGTCCAGCAGGGCGTCATCTGGATGCCGGCAGGGCGAGGCGCAGCGAGCAGCGTTTCAGATGCTCTGGGGCTGACCTCAAGGAGGTACCGGGCACCCTTCGTCTATGAGCATACGAGTTTCTTTCAGGCGTACTACGCCGGCTAGCAATATGCTTGTGTTGGTTAATTGCTCTATGGTTGATATGCGGGCCAGGGCTTACTCCCATAAAGGAGGCAAGGCTAGTTTCGAGCTTCAGACTGACATGGCTGTATTTGTACTATGACACGCTATAGCTCTCCAAGCGAGATAATACATTCATATAATGTACGATAAGATCAAGACGACGTTTTTTCCGCCGCGAGCCTTCCTGCCTCTCTGAACATATCAAGAGCCTTCCATGCCTTCCCCGACACGATGCCGTCCTGCGCCAAAGCAACGCCCTCCTTAAAGTCCTTCGCAATTCCAGCGACGACCAAAAGTGCGCTCGCGTTGATGAGCACAAAGTCAAGCACGGGCTTCAGCCTGTCCGGGATCGCTGCACCAGACGTCAACAAGACCTTGAACGTCTCCGCATTCCCCTCTGGCGTGCCGCCCGCGACCTCGGACAACAAGTGCGGCGAGAGACCAAAGTCCTCGGGGCTGATCGTGCGCTCGGTGATTTTGCCGTCCCTGAGCTCCCAGACGTGCGTCGGGCCCGCACAGCTGATCTCGTCGAGCCTCTCCGCGCCGCAGACGACGAGCGCGCGTTCGACACCGCCTGCGTGCACACTCTGCGCGTACGTGTAGCCGAGCTCGGGCTCGGCGACGCCGACGACCATGCCGCGCGGGCGGGCGGGGTTGATGATCGGCCCGAGGACGTTGAACATTGTCCGGAAGGGCAGCGCTTTGCGGTACGGCGCGATCAGGGCGAGCGCAGGATGGTAGTGGGGCGCGAGGATGAAAGTGAAGGGCACACGCGCGATGGGCATAGGTGTGTCTGCCGTGGGTGGGGTGAAGAGGCAGCCCAGCGACTGGAGCAAGTCCGCTGAGCCGGACGATGAGGTTGACGCTCGGCTTCCGTGCTGAATACAAGCTTGAATAGCTCATTGAAGTGGCTGCAAATCTTGCAACACACCTTGATAACGCGAGCCCCTGCGCCGGCTGCAACGATACCCGCGGTAGTGCTCACATTGAAGGTGTTGTGTCCATCTCCGCCTGTCCCGACAATGTCCACTACAAAGTCCACGTCTGCGTCCTGAACGGCGGCCTTTAGAGAACGTGCTCTGAGGACATCTGCAGCAGCAGCGAGGGACTCAGGTCTCCGTTCGACCCTGTTGATGTGCAAAGCAGCTAGGAATGCACCAATCTGCTCGGGAAGAACGGCGTTCGGTGTGAAGACATGGTCCAGAGCGAGCCGGAGATCTTCCGGGCTGAAGTACTCTGGCGTGTGTACGAGCTTCTTCAAGAGTGGCTTGAAGGTGTCCGGGGAGTATGTAGAGGACATGGTGGACGAAGAGAAAGGTGGGGACGGGCCTTTCCAAACTCACACTGCAGATTCGTCTACGTCCGACTCTCACACCCATCTCCCAATCCATCATACAACAAAGTCCGATTGGTTGGAATGATACAGGTAGACACTGAAGATACCGGATGCGCTGTCGCGGCACATAACAAAGAAGGCAGAGTCCTGCGAATGGCTGTGACGTCGGAGCCGGGGCGTCGGGGTAGGAGGTGTTAGGAACCGAGAATAAGAAGTGGACAACCCAGTTTGAAACCCAGCTTATTCGACATTTCTAATGAGCCAATCATTATATGACCGTGGTAAACAATTGGCTTTAGTTGTGCTATAACCACTATGAGATCAAGTAAGTACTAGACGGTGTCCGGGTTGACCACACACCATGATCAATTTTATTTTAGTGCAGGTCGGTACGTCCTCAAATGCTTATTCTATAAGTTCCGTTAATGTTACGGTCGCTACCAGAACAGACAAGGGAAGACTCGTTTGTCTAAGTGGTATGTTCCGTACGATGACGACGAGAAGGTGGGTCGCATGTACGCAACCGGCCGCTATTACCGCTGAGCCTGCTTTTCAGGTCCGTTTACGCGGGGAGGTGCACCGGTTAGTCGCGCCTAGAGACCAGAAGTACCAGTCGAACTTCGTCGAGGTGTGTTTTGGAGTCTCAGTGCATAGTTGTGATCAGTCTCAATGGAACGTTGCACAGTTCCGCAACAACAAGATCGTGTATAGGAGATATGCCGGCCTGTTCTTCTGCGTCTGTGTGGACGCCAACGATAACGAATTAGCATATCTCGAGGCTATTCATCTCTTTGTTGAGGTTCTTGGTACGTCCCCAATACGTCCACGAGATACCCGGGGTGTTTACCTTGCATCAGACTCGTTCTTTGACAACGTTTGCGAGCTAGACCTTGTCTTCAACTTCTACAAGGTGCGTCTTGTCTCTATGCATATAAGTATCATGCTAATGCACCGCTTTAGGTCTATGCTATCTTGGACGAAGTGTTCCTCGCGGGCGAGATAGAGGAAACCAGCAAGGATGTGGTGCTTGCGAGGCTAGAAGAGTTGGAGAAGTTGGAGTAAACTTTGGACTGGATTATCTTATTGCGTGCGTGACCCCTTTTCTGCTTCCTTGCTGCCCCGGATGATCTGACAAATGAACAGTTTCGTCAATACGCTCTGTACATGTAGTGAACTTTCACGCCGGCTTAATGGGGATATCCTTACTTACGCATCCTGGATCCCAACATTAAAAGCTACGCACTGCTCGGGCACCTCGGTGTTTTTGAGATCGTGGCTGCGACGTACACCATCTGCAGGCTCGGAGTGGCCCGGTCGCGTATCCAATGCCATTGCGGTTGTCGAGGCCCACGAGAACGGTGCTTCGCAGCCACGCGCGCGCAGTGGCCCCGCCTGACCCTGCTTAGGCAACATCTCACTTCTCCTTATGCGTATTGCTTCCCAGAGTCCTGAGAGCGTTCGGCACCGACTACTGCCATAGCTCTGCCTCTCGGCCGCCTATGTGCCTATCTCTCCACGTCATCAAAACTCTCGACTCCTCGTTGATTTTGTCCTATTACTCAAATTCAGGCTTACTATGGCCAATTGCATGAATTCTCTCGTCCCCACGGTCAACGCTATTGGCGCGGAAGAATTTTGCATCCTTACAGGAGGTAAAGTCTAAGCTTCAGCTAAGTGCCTACCTATCGAGTTTATTGTTAGGACTCGTGTCAGAGGATAGCACCCACCACTGAATCTGGCCAATCACACCCGACGGAAGTGTACCTTGTTTCTTCGGTTCTGAAGACGTCCTTGACATGCCGGATTCTAACATGTGGTTGCACCGCACGCGGTGTTAGCATGGCGTCCATGTGCTCGAGGCAGCTCGAAGATTCGATTGTAAGAACTCGACTCAAATCCGGCTCAGTCCAGCTCTAAGTGCCTCTGTCGTTACGAGCTGTGCAGATTGCACCCGAGCCACGCAGAAGTGCCTAGTCCGTTCCTCCGGCAAGCTCCTTGGAAACAGTGTTCCTTGGTCAACGGTCTTACAGACCCCGAGCACGTTAAGTTTTGGCAATGGCTTCGATGCGCGCCGGCACAGGCATACTATGCCCGGACAATAAAAGCAGATCGCCGACGACGCTGGCGGCCGCATATCTCATCGTGGGGCCATCCAGGGTGTGGCTTGGGAGTGCTCGGAGCTGCTGAGTCGCGCGACGGCTCGAAACTGCGTCCAAGTTCCCGCAGGACGGAGGAAGGCATGGCGTATGACTCTGCTCGTGTGTTCGACAAAGGAAGCTAATTCTCATCAGGTCGCAAGCACCACTAAAAACCATCCACGACGCAGGATTTCAACTCTGTTCTTCGCAGACTGGTCGGATTTTCGCCAGGCTATATTGGGAGAAGGGAGCTCACGCCGCATCTCTCATAGCCTCATAGGCGGAGACGGCGTGCCATCTTACGCGGAGCGCGTCCAGAACTGTTGACACCACAGCCCTCAAGGTAAGTGGTGGCGGTCCCAAAGATGGATTACTGAGCACCCGGCTAATAGTCGTCTACCGAGATAGATACGAGTCGCCTCCGGTGTATTACACGACGACTCTAATTTTTCTTCGTACGTCATGGAGCACTGAGCGAGCAAGTGGTCACTGAATGGCGCGTATTTCTCCAGCTTTCACCCGCATTATAGGCTACTGTGGGTGCGGTGGTACCGGACGGATCAGAGGTCTGTTTTATTACCTTGTCTGAGCGGTCTTCTGTCGTAGCCAGCGACCTCGATGCTCACTAATTCCCACTATTAAGCCCCCCTCACAAACGCATGGAACTCTCGAGGGAGGTCTACAGCCTCATCGTCAAAAATGTTGCCACTCGCGCAGACCTCCTCGCGCTCTGCTTCGTCTCCCGACGCTTCCGCCATGAGGCGCAAAGGGCGCTATACAATACTCTGCAGCTGCGCGGCTACACACGCATTATGGCAGTATGTCGTCTGCTCAATACCACTCCTCGCCTATCATTACTGGTCGAAGCACTGTCCCTCTTCCTCGCAGACGAACGTCCCTGCGGTAGCGACAGCGAAGACGAAGAAGAGAACGACTCGGAGTCCGAAGATCCCCCCGCGGGTCCACCGCACGGCTTCTGGGAAGCAGTCGCCGCGGCGCTGCGGAAACTTGACAGACTGCGCTTCCTCAGCGTGTACTTCGAGCAGGTGCAGGAGACGGCGCAGGCATGGATCTTGTCTGGCAGTAAGTTCCAGCTGCAGACCTTCCATTGCGACTTCGATTGGGACCAACACCTCGTCTCCTTCCTCCACTCCCAGTCAGGTATCGTCGACCTCTACCTGGCAGACTACAGGAAGGACATCGTGCTCGACGTGCTCGGACCGGGACCAAACCCACTTCCTGCTCTGCTCACCATGTCGCAGCTCGCGATCCTCGAGTGCACGTTTAGCGAGGCCGCAGTTGCCCTGGTCCCTGGCCGGCCAGTCATGCGGGTCAAGACATGTTTCTCGCGGAGCGGCGAAGACGAGAAGCGAGCGGAGATGCGAGAGCTTCTTTCGAAGCTCAAGGCGTCGCACAGGTCGCTATGCGCGTTGGACCTCGCCGACGAATCGTACACCGAGGACTTCTCGCTCGAATTCTTGGCTTTGATGAGCAGCACGTTCTCGTGCCTCTCGGAGCTGCGGTACCTGGGAACACTCGTCCTCCCTATTGACAGCCAAAAGGTGCGTAGCATCTGGTTCCTGCGTTATCGATGCGGCCCTAAAGGTGTCTGCTGCGCTGTATGTTCGAAGAGATTGCAGTTCTATGGTCGGTTAATGAAGTGTCCGAGATTGCGATGCGTCGAGCTGGAA